ACCAAAAGAGAACAAAAATTAGTTGTATTTCCACCATTTAATTACTACTATTTGGTAGAATTCTTGATTCCTGTAGTTTATCTTGTTACAAAATGTTTATACCATATTTAGATACCTACTTACATTGTTATCCCCCCCCACATACGCACAGTGTTCTTTCAGAGATGGTTTTTAATGGCTCTATACATAATAGCCCATTGTTTGAAAGGCTTATGAAGTATTTTCACTCCTGCTTAGTGGGGGTTGAGGTTAATAATTAATAAGTATAGGTTTTTGCTGATAGAAATAAATCTATGGTGTTGCTGTTCCCTTACTTGATGAATAGGATACATTTCTGAAAGAATTATCAGGTTACAGGTATATGGTAAGATATGAGCAACTTTAGGAATTTTTATTACATTGTATCAAACTTTACCCCAGAAAGATGGTCCCAAAAGGATTCTTTAAGGCTTTGCTTACCACATTTAGCACTTTCAGAGTTTCTATTACATCATCTAGTATGGAGGATTTTTAAGCCCTCTCCTAAATTTAATCACTGGTTTGAAAGTCATAGCTCAAATTAAGGCTGACTCCTGTATGTCATTTTTATTTCTTTTTAATTTAATGTAATTTTTTTGTCTTTTTGAGACAGGGTCTTGTTATGCAGTTCAGGCCGGCCTTGAGCTCACTTTGCAGCCAAGGCTGGTCTCAAACTCACAACGATCCTCCTGCCTCAGCCTCCGAGCTATATATCAGTTTTATTTTTATTTATTTTTTATATCAGTTTTAGAATTGGGTAAGATCTTACATATCATGTGCATGTTAATAATAATAATTGAGGAAAAAACGTTTGTTTTCAGCTTTCTTCTGAGACTATGTTTCTGTAATTCACTTTCCTTTTTTTTTTTTAAATATGGAACGCTTCACGAATTTGCGTGTCATCCTTGTGCAGGGGCCGTGTTAATCTTCTCTGTATTGTTCCAACTTTAGTATATGTGCTGCCAAAGCGAGCACTATAATTCATTTTCTATGATACTGGAGAATAGATCAGGAAATAAAGGCAGGAGGCTGTGTGCTAATTTGTTTGTTTTTTAGTTGGTTTACAAATTCTTCCCTGAAAGGTTTTTTGTTGTTGCGTTGTTTTTTAGTAATTGTAAATTGGATGGAAAACAAAAAGCAGATTGAGAATGAGTATACAACTGAGATCTGGGGGAGCTTAGAGAATTGGGTCTTACTGTCCCATCGCTTAATTTTTAAAATAGATTTTATAGGCCATTGTTACTTTATAAAGTACCAACATTAATTGATTTGAGCAGTTTGCCAGTCAGTATAGAGCATGTGAGAAACTTAGTTAATTGCCAAAGTCATGTATGCAGTCTGCCCTCAGAGCTCAAGTTTGGTAGAAGCGTGTTTGTGTTACATTTAGCTTACTTCTTTAATTAAAACCATGCTTCATTCCCAGTTTTTGTAGAATTGTGGGGAAATTTGGAGTTGGTATTATACCAGAAATGCCCGAGGTTTGCATGGGGGACCAGGTGCCCCCCCTTCAAGGTTTTAGAATGAAGCTACAGCAGCCCACAGTTAATAGGACCTGCTCAATCTGAAAGGCGTTTTAGGGATAATCAGTGGTGTGGTGAGCTACTCAGCCATGGAGGAAATTGAACCTGCGTAGGTGGGCCAAGGGGGTATTTTGTTAAGCCTGGGCATATTGTTAAAGAAAATACAAAATTATAGGAAGTTTTAGGATAAGCCTTGAGTATGAAAGCCATGTGTTTACCATCTACAGCCCTCAGTCCGGCCAAGCCATGGAGTTGCTGAATTCACTCACTCCTGCTCTTTTAAGGTTTTGCTTCGGTGGAGGATGAAGAGACCTGATGCGTAGAAGGTAGCCTTTCCTCTCGCACAGCCTCAAGTGTCAAGGTCCAGAGAGGTTAGGGATTCTGCCCAGGTTTCAGGAGAGCACACTGCATAGCAGGACGTGCAGCACAAGTCCTGTTACGCCTAGTGTAGCCTCCCCGCTTGGCAACTGTATTTCACAACCGAAGTGCCATATTCTGTGTGTACTCAAATTGTGTTGCTTTGGAGGGTCTTCAGGAACACTCAGTGGATTAGAAAGTGCCACAGCATTGGCTCATTGCTTATCGAAAGAAATGCGCTGTGAAAGATCCGCCTTGCCGTCGTGTCAGTCAAGCTGGGCCCTTGTAAGCCAGCTCTGTGTGTGTAGGGCTGGTCTACCTCTTTCTTGCACAGGAACCCAACCAAGGGCCGAGGGCCTGCAAGTCAAAGAAAGCGGGGTAGATGTTAGTGCATCCACAACAGGAGAGTGTCCCCTGTGGAAGAGATTATTGGTACCAAGGGCAGCAGTGATGTTTTATCATTATGTTTATACATAATTATGTTCTCTATGAGCTATTTTTATATCCCTTGACAACACCTTAGCACAGGTTGAGGTGTAAATGGTGTCCATTCAACACTTACTAGATTAAACTTACTCCATAAATTAGGGAATAATGTGCATGTGTGTTTATGCATGTGTACACATACATGCTGAATTTTCACATTGGAACTCCGCCTGTTGGGGTAGGGCTCATGGAAAAAAAGAGCTAAGCCTGCCACAATCTTCTTTTGACATAGAACTTACCTACAGAAGGAGAGTCTATTATGATATTTTCATTTAAAGGCTTGCTATTTCCTTATTGATTGAACCTCTGTAACCTGGGTCATTATGCAGAAGTTGAAATGTTATTTTAGAACAGATGTCCTAAGAAAAACAGATCAGTGTTACATGACTCTATAGAGCTTTTGGTCCTGCTAATGATACTAAGATAGGATTTTTTCATACTGCATATCCCTAAATTCTTTGAAGTCCCAGACATCATAGCTATTTGAGGAAAATGTGCTCTGTTGTTACATAAATGAGCAAAAATGAAGTTTTAGAGCAAGACCTAGAAATTCAAGCTAAGCATGGAAATCCATGCTTATAATCCTGGCCATCTGAGGCTGAGGCAGGAGGGTTGCAGGTTCAGGCTCAGTCAGCTTGGGCAGCTGGGAAACTTAGGAGAGATTCTGTCTAAAAATAGAAAAAGAGCCGGGTATAGCTCAGCCACATAGCGCCTGCCTGGCAAGTGCAAGGTCCTGAATTCGATTCCTGGTACCAAAAAAACCCCCTGCAGCTCAGGGCAAGTGCCCTTGATTCAGTCTCCAGTACCAGAAACTTGTCATTTTTTGCATTTGTGTGTCTGAACAGAAATGATCTTTGCTCACATACAATTTATTGAAAGTGGGATGTGCAAGTTGAAGCCGAAGGAAGCAACAGTGACGTGCAGGGTGTACAGTGTGACTAGTAGTGATGTCCTGGGCATGATGTGGAGAGCTAGGAATAATAGTGGAGAAAGGAAGAGCCTCGTGCAAGACTTGGTTTACCCTGAGGATATGGTTCTTACACACGGCCCCCATAGTGTCTGAGACTTTCTACTCTTGTGTGGAAATTTGGTTACAATTGTGTACAGATTCCAAGTGTTAAGTGTGATTGTTATTAAAGAATACAAGGAGAGAAAACTAACGTGTAATAAGCCCTTGAGTTCCTTCAAGTATGTATGGATTGCACACATTGCCTTATTTAGTCCTCAGAAGAGTCCTAAGATGATGGGGGGCGGGGCGCTAGGTTTTTTTGGCTTTTGTTGTTGGTTTAATTGTCTTAAAGGCACACCAGCATTAGGGCACGGCACTCATGAAGTTGCCACTGTTTACTACAGTCTGCCTCTGCAGTCTGTCGTTCTCTGATGCATCCCTTTCATGCTAGACTGAGCTCCTGCAGGCAGAGCTATGCCTGTTTTTGTTCTTGCTCCCAGGCTGCCCTGGCCTTTTCTGGGGAGGCTCAGGAGGTTTGGGTCTCCTTCCTGTATCATCTTGGAAGTGACCCATCTGCTGTGTGGCTCTGCTGTGAAAACATTATTCCTTCCTGGGAGTACATGTGCTTGTGTATTGCTCTCGCTAAGGTAGGGCCTATGCTCACAAATTACACAGAAGTCATCAGTAATACCACAGAATGCAGTCCCCATCCTGCTTCTGTGATGGAAAATTACACCGTTAGAAAAGCTGATGTAACAGCGGACACTGCCACGTGCATTCAGCACCCGTTAACACGCTACTGTACCTTCTCCTTCCCCTCTTACTCTCTTTTTTTTTCCCACACAGATACATATATAAAGATTTTGGGGGCAAAACCTAAAAATTTAGAGTGCATTTTAATAATCTGAACATAGGATTATATTTGTTATTCCAGTTTTTAATTGCGCCTTCCTTTGTCATCTTCTAAAAGTAAATCACAGACATTATATTTTGTGTTTGTAGTGTCTTTTAATCCAGATAGTACTTTCAGTTCTCTTCTGCTTCTTTAAAACATATTTTTCCAAACAAGATTTGATTCCCTAACTGCATCACTTAAACTATGTGGGGTAAGCTTTTGTGGAAATTCAAAGTTGATCATATAGGATTTGCCGTATACACTTGCTAATTATAGATAACTTTTACTACTACATCACTTTTCATTTCCTCTTGCTATTGAAAATACCTCAGTTCAGCAGGAGTGCCACTCTGCTTGCTAAGGTTTGAAGACGCAGAAGACTAAACTTACTATCATTGTTTTATTGTTGCTTCACCATGTCCACACCGGGAGTCTGATAATAGCGTTAGGAGAACCCTTACATATTAAAGGCTTACTGTTGATAGGATGTGAATAGAATTTGGTATTTGATAAGAAATCTGAATACTGTCATTTGAGGCAGAGTCTCACACCTGTAACTTGAGAGGTGGGAAGTAAGCTGATCTGTGCAAGGAGGGTGTGCAGCAGGGGAATGCCGCTGCTTTTGGTAACGTGCTTCTGAAGTTTTGTACGTCTGAATCAAACACACGAGCTTCTAATTTTCTTCATTATGTCTGTGATGATGTCACGCAACAGTCACTTTTAATCAAAACAGAAATAGTTAAGTCACAGTTTCTTTCTGATTTTGCTCATCTAGAAGGAGCTGGCAAACAACCCTGACTGTCCTCAAATGTGCGCGTATAAGCTGGTGACCATCAAGTTCAAGTGGTGGGGGCTACAAAGCAAAGTGGAAAACTTCATCCAGAAGGTAAAATCTGTGCAGAATGCGCTCTAAATTTGGGTTAAGATTTGAGATAGACACTACCGGGAAATCTTCTGTTACTTTTTTTTCTCCTTTATGACATGAAAATTATTGTTCCTGTATAACTCATTTTTGCTTTTTTGGTCTCTAGAAACAGCAAAGAGTGATGCTAGAAGAGGTTTTAAGGGGCTGCCTCTGGGGACGTCCATAGCAGTTTTTTCTTCATGGTGCTCTCCTGATAGATTACCCAGCACTTCCGTAAAGAGCCCTTTCCATGTACAGCGTGTCCCCAGGGGCGCCTGGCCTGGCCCTGGCTGGATGGAGAGGGCAGCCTTTGCCTGCTGAAGGCCTCCCTAATCTCTTGGCCAGTGGCTTGGCACCCTGCGTCGCTGTCACAGCACCTTGCCATGTGGGGTCGCTTCTTTATAGGTTCTCACTGGAGATGGCTGTACTCTGAATTGAGGTGATACGATCTTAGGGTTCACATTCTCACTGCCCTTTATTATGTCTTCTTTATTAAAATGAAAGTAACAGGCAGTCAGATCTAGGAAGAAAAGAGAATTGCCGTTGTATAAACCGATGTGGTTATGATAGAGTGCTTTTCCAGCATGCACGAGTCCCCAGGTTCAAACCCTAGCACCACAAAAATGACAGAAATATGTGTGGTTATAAATACACAAGGGGTGTGGAGAATGTCCTTGGTATTTACTTTCCTGCAACATGAATATTTATTTCATTATCATTATAAAGAAGCCCTCATTCTGGTTCTGATCCCCACAGCTAGTTGGGTCTATATTTCACTATAACTTTTCTACTTTTGCTGTAGCTACTGTAACATTTGTAAAAAAAAAAAAAAATGACCCTAAAGTGCTGGGAACCTTGCTTATTCTTGGGGCTGCTTGCACTTGGTTCATGGTAGGCACTTTAAATATTGGCTTCATTCCTCGTGGATCATAGTAATAGAGTATCAATACAGTTCTGATAAATAGAAGTCACGTGTGTAATAGATGAAGTCCTTTCTGTTCATGGAAAAGTTAAAAAGTTGTGTTGTCCAGAAGTGCTCACTGTTTTTTGCTTTTGTCTTGTGGGAAACTTGAATACAACTTCAGTAATTTAGAAATTAAAGCCACTGTTGGTATATATGGTTATATGTATTATAGTGACAGTAGCGTGTAGCTCAGAAACTTAATGGAGTGTGTATGTGTGTGATACACAATTGTTACTTTAGCAAAATATCTTTATTCCAAAGAACCGAGGGCTGTTTTCTTTCAGCCCATTACTGTATTCCACTTCATGTGTTCCTTTGAAATGCAGAGAGGTGAAGAATGACAATGTTAGTTTCATAGCACAAAAAAATCTAGTTGCCCTTTGCTCGTTGACATTTAGAAAAGGTAAAAATAGATTGGGTCCAGCAGAAGTATGTTAGATCAGACTGTGCACACCACAATTTTTTAGTTTCTACTAGATCATTATACCTTTGTCCGGGGAGATTATTTCCCATTTCGTGGAGAAAATTTTCATTTTACTGTGTAAAATATTACAATAGGATGGAATTAAGATTTCCACTATCCATATTGAGTTGTCTTTTCAAGTGAAGTATGTAAATTTCATGGATTGAGACATACAAAGTTATATGTCGTTGATCTTAGGCTTTTGCCATCTTATGCTGCTTTTCTTCTTTGTTTTTAAAGCAAGAAAAAAGGATATTTACAAACTTCCATCGCCAGCTTTTTTGTTGGATTGACAAGTGGATTGATTTGACAATGGAAGACATTAGGAGAATGGAAGATGAGACTCAGAAAGAACTAGAAACAGTAAGACTTGCCTTTCTGTGGGACTTCTCTCGTTTCCCCTCTTTCTAACACTGCGCACATGCTTAGGGAGTGTAGCTTTAGAGTTAGGAATAATGTTACCGAAAGCTAGTCCTCCATCTTTTTATCTTCATCAGCATAGTTTCTTACACATCCGTAATCCCTTGATATGTACTGATTTCTCTTTTGTTGAGAACTTATCACCTATAAAATGTTCAGTGGTTTTGCTTCCCTTTTCATACATTAGTTTTCTGGGATGATACCTGGTTCACAGTCCTTTTAGATTCACTTTATCAGACCAAGGTGCCTTGGGCTCAGTCAGTCTCAGCTCCCTCTTCTGTAGACAGAGTAAGGCTAATACTGTCACTAATCCTAGAGACGCCTTCTCCCCTCCCCATCTACCAGTGAATTCTTTTTTTCCTTGTAAGTTTTAGGCAGATTTGAGTGATTCCCTGGCAGAAGGCCAGCGTGCTCCCAGCTCCTCCCTGCTGCCAGTGCCAGGCGCTGCAGCCAGTGGGTGTCTCACCTCTCTCAGGCATGGATTCTTCTTGGCCGCCTCTTGCATGTGTCTGGTTTTGTTTTTGCCCTGGGCCGCGCTTGTCTGTAGTTGGCAGTGAGTAGGAAAAGGAACCCAAAGAATGTCCAGGGTTCGTGAGTGCTTTTCACGCAGTCACCTCTTGTCCTGCCAGTGGGCCCAGCTCTGGAAGCCCTGCAGGTGTGTCTGATAGATGCCCCCGTTCGAGGCAGGCACTCCACTTAATGCTGGAGAGTGGCAGTGAATCAGATTCCGTGGCCCAGAAGGAAATGTGTTTCTCTGGCACACTGCATTGTAAAGACTCTATGTCTGGAATTGCTTGCTTTTGGTGATTGCAGCAGGTCTGCTTCTAATTAGCTTTATACAAACCTGAGAGGACTAGGGCATATTTTCTTTATAAGGTAATAAAATGTTTTAACTTTATCTCATACATAAAGTAAACTATAGGCAGAGTCCAACTTATGAATGGATTGTGCCCTAGATTTTTTTTCAGTTGATTGTTTGGAATTTGGAACATATTTTCCCGTAGAGACAATATTATAAATTGGGGTTTGCTTTCTAAACCAGCCAGTAGAAAACCACCTTGGTCCCAGTTTCGCATACTAATGGTAGAACTTCAAGTTTCGGATCTTTGGAGCAGAATGATAAAATGGCAAGAGTGGAAGACGTCCTTCACTCCCTTATTTTAGGCTGGCGACGGCTATTTGGACAGGGTGATAAGTACATCCTACCTTTCTTCCTGTGCCTCTGCCCACTTCAGTTCCCTTTCCTCAATGGTCAGGCGCCCTTTACTGCCACTAGGAATTCACCCCCAGCACCGGGCTATCCCGCTGAATCCCTTTTTTCCTGCCCTGCGTGATTTGCTCCCTTGAAGCAGCAGATGTTCATTGCACAGAAAGAGTAGCTGCCTCGTTACCCAGGTTCACACTAAGCTCATGGCACAGCACTGCCGATTTCAACAAGGAGTTACCAACACCAAGAGGAAACAGGAGTGAGATTTGTTTTTGTTGGTCCAAACTGTCAGAAAAAACCCTTCTCGTTTGGTTGGTTTTTTTTGGCCAGAAAACTGTCACATAGAGCATTCATTCGCCTTGACCAGCCACCTTGCACGTAGCCGTCTTTGGTGTGGCTCTGACCTCTGCCTGTCCCTCGACCCCTTGGCTAGCGCTTGGCTGGTACCTGTTCTTTCCCGGCTCTCAATGTCTTCTCAAGTTCCCGGTCAGGAGGCTTCTGAGCACGCCGCGGCCCCAGCGTCGACACAGCGAGGGCCCCTGCTGCACACACGCAGTGGTGGCCCTCGTTCCCACCTGGGGCGGTGAGCCTGCAGACGCAGCTCCTTCCCGTACGAGTCAGTCGTGAATGGAGCCTGCACTTGAGGAGAAGGCGTAAGACAGAGAGGAAATTACACAGAATTTAAAAACCCAGCTTAGTAGTATCATCATTTTTGGACTCTCACAGCTCAAACTGACTAAATTCTTCATGAAGTTGGTATAATTCTGTCGAGGGTCAAGGGCAGGGCATAGCAATTTCATTGTTGAATATGTCAAAAACATTTTATAACACATTGCAGCATTGGGTGCTGATCATCTTAATATTAAACCCTACTTAAGTCTTGGGGAGTGCTGTATTCCTCCGGCACTGCTGCTGCTTTGAGCATCTTCAGAGTATGGCGAGGAACACTGCTGGAAGCACCTCCTGAAGGGGATCTAATGCTTTAACTCCTACCCCATCAGGAACTTACCTTGCTTTTAAGGTCTTGCTTCCTCACACCTGCTGTGAAAATTTGACCCAATTGATTCTCTTAGTTCACAGACATTTTAAGAATTGGCTTTCTTGTTGCTGGATGTGGTGGTATACACCTGTGATCCCAGCACTCGGGAGGCTGAGGCAGGAAGATTGCTGCGAGTTTGAGTCCAACCTGTGCTACATAGTGAGTTCAAGGCCAGCCTGAACTACATAGTGAGACGTGCCTCAAAAAAAAAGAAAAAAAAAAAAGGCTTTCTTTCTCCCATGGGTCAGTCTCTGGGGAAAAGGCCTAGTATCTTGAGAGTCTGGGCCCAAGAAGAGAATCCTTGCCTGTGGTCCCTTAGAGGTCTGCTGGGGTTAGACCCAGCCACTGAGTGGGTTGGTGGCATTATTCCTGTTCTCTGTAGGCACTTTCCCAGGTAGGAGGGAGAGGAGGTGGTTATAAATGTGTTCATTGCATTTGTTTCTTCTCTGTCTCTTGATTTTCCCATTGAATATTTTTTTACCTGTCTGTAGACTGTTAGAAATGCCTGGCCTTTCCTTTGCATCGTTTCATTCTTTGTGTTTGCCACGTTATTATTCCTTTGCTTGCTTTTTCCTTTCGGTCGCTTTCTCTCTGTAACCTTACTTTAATGGACTCTGAGAGACCTGGTCGTAAGAGAGCAGAGGAGACCGCTCCTTACGCCTTTCTGCCTGCTTTAGGAACTGAAACTATGGACCAGACCTTTGGGCATTTTTTTCACATTGTATTGGCAAAGAGTTTTTATCTGCTGGTCACTTTGATAATTTCATATCAACTTTAGGCATTTGTTTCTTAGATACAAAAATATATGTGTATTTTCTGTGATGTCTAACAAAAGAAAGCCCTTTGCGAGATTATCAAGATTATCTGAAGGGCCTCAACCTAATTCCTCCTGTGGATGTGGTTACACATAGGCAGCCATCACGTCATAATTTCTTCTGGGCCCTTTCTCTCCCTTTGCTTTACTAACTCTTACTTAGAGTATGATTTCGGCAGCTCATGATTTTATTTTACATTTAGATGCGTAAGAAGGGTTCCGTCCGAGGCACTTCGGCTGCTGATGCCTAGATGAGTCCCCTGTAGGGTCAGAGACAATATCACACTGTGTAAGTGAAGATCTGGGTAAAAAGAATGTTTAAAAACCTGTACCTTTTCGGTGATGGGGAGTTAACTTGCTGAGCATAGAGGGTGTAAGTATTAAATGAGGTTTTATTTTTATAATTTAAAAGACACATACTTCAGAAATTGACAGTGATATTTGAGTTCTTCTATGACAATTGTTTGTGTGGAACAGGTTAAATAGTGCAATCCCTTGCCAGTTCTTGGTGTTAACAGGCTGGAAATTGGCTGCCTGTGGACTTGTTCATCATGTAACATTGTCCTGGAAGCTGGCTCATTTTTTGTTAGTCAGTTAACTAACCTGTTTGTCAGTAAAACCAGGATATAGTAAGGATATGTGTAAAAAACCAAACAGATCATTCATCCCTAAGAGCCAACCTCAGTAATTCACGTGAGGTGAACTTTGTGTGCACCATAAAGTCTTCGTGCTTGATCTTTATTTAATTTGCAATTAGTTTTACTCTGTGCAAATGTACTTCACTTTTAATTTATGGTATAAAACATTTCTGTGGTCATACTTGTCTGACACACACTTACGTGCCCAATTAACAGATTCCTGTAGATGGGAAAAGAAAAATCTGCCCCACATATTGAAACCACTGTGGGTAAACAAAAGTGTACGTTACACAGCCATTACTTGTAAATACTGAACTGGGATGTTCGTGAGGAGAAAGGACAGTATGTAGCGCTCCATTGTGTTTCTTTGCTGCCCCTGCCACGAGCTATCTGCTCTTAATGGTTGAATGTAAGATAAACGAGATGTTCACTTTGCAGCAGATAAGAATGAACTATCTTCCCAGATTTCTCCAGAGCTTACTCCTTAAACTCAGTGTTCATTTAAAAATTTTTTTCATTATTGTTTTTATTAAGTTCTAAGTTTTTATGATTTCATTGTGCTTGTACTTTATTTTTCCCTCTGATGGAACAAAATGTTACCAAAGAGACTAAAGTGCGAAGGTGCAGTAGTTGGGATCCATTTTCTGCCAAAAGTTTTGCCACGTCAGGAGGGTTTTTTCTAGAGAAGGTGTATGACAAGCTGCTGTGTAACATTTTCTTTGTCTGTCTGTATGGTAACACATTTTGCACTTTGACTTTTTTACAGTTACGTAATCAAGGTCAAGTGAGGGGAACAAGTGCAGCCAGTGACGAGTGAAGAATCTGACCAGTGTCTTGCAGTGTTGATGTTTCCGACGCGCGCTTGTGATCACACACACACGCACACGCACAGGTTCCCAGCCACGTGTGTATATGTGTGTGTGTGTTTGTAGCTGTATATAGAAGGCATGTAGAGCTGCAGATCCAGATACACACGTGTGTGTATATATGTACATACAGACATACTGAGGGATTAGTACAATTTCTCCAAAGTACTGTACCTATCTTGAGCAAGAATGCAAAAGAAAATATTTTCAATATATATACCTGGAACAGATTTTAATAATTATCAGAGTAATACCATTAATGGACAAATTGACTGCAATGTGATACTAGCTGGTATGTTTCATAAATGTCTTGTGGACCAATATATATATAACATTTTGTTATTCTTGTGTTCTTTTAAATCAATCTCTTACAAATTTTTATTTTAGTCCCATAAGCAACAGACTCCCACAGAAAGATTTCTTCAAAATTTTTTGGTATTCCAATGAATCTGGAATGTAAACTCTGAATGTATTTATAGCTATTTATTTCTGGATGGTCATTATCTTCCAGCCAAATTTGACAATATCTGTTAGGAGTAAAGTTACAGGCTAGTTTTTACTACTTTGTCCTGAGGGAAAAATCTTTTAGAAAAGTTTTCTGATTTTTATTGGATTTTTGTATTTTAAATTTCAAGTATTTTTCTACATCAAATCTAGCAAAGGTGGAGAAGACAGTTTGTGATTTATAATAAACACTAGAAAATTTCCAGGCTTTTGTTAGACCAAGAAGTTGACAAAGATGTTAATCTTAAGGGTATTGTAGGCCATGGGGGAAAATTGGAAATACAGCATTTCAGAAATGGCTATTTTCTACAGCTATAGCATAGAGACTATGCAAATGGTCTAGATTCCTAATAGCTTACAGGATGGGGGAATAGTGACATTTCATTCTTTCCATGTTGCAATACACTTCATGTGAGAGATGTTGACCCTGAGATAGGAATAGTGTAAGATGCAGCACAGGACTTGACTGCATACTGTAGGAGGCCCTACGAGGGACCAGTGGCCTTCTGACTTCTGTGTGCGCCCTTTAGTAGGATGTCAAAGAGTGTGTCCTACACAGGTGTCACGAAAACGTTCGTTAGAAGTTGCTGCCGCTTTTTTTAAAAAAAAGAAGAAACAATAGCTAGGTACGATTTTTATCAGCTTTCCTCCTGTCAGTCCTGGAAGCTTGAGTAGAACGATATTGTTGAAGCCTTCAGGTCACAAACTGTCTTCTTTAACTTGCCGTCCTTTCTAAACACGCCGAACCCTGCAGTCTAATCACATTAGTAATCCGATTTGCTGACAGTCCTGCCCTCCTTGCCCGTTTTCCCACATGTCCTGTGTCCCCACTGGAGTGATGGCAGCGAGTGGGACAGTGATGTTTAGGGTCACTGCCGCATCGTGATATGCTGCTGTCCTCGGCAGCAAATCCCGCATTTCCTGTGTCCTCTGTGTACTCAGGATAAAGACTGCTGTCTCCTCTCTGGGCACTGCTGTAAGATAGGTTTGTCAACGCGGAGTCATTTTGCAAAGTGGTGCAAGGAATATCACTGCTAATTTTGTGGATTAAAGAGTCTCGCCCTCTCCTTTCAATGAACCTAAGTCTCACTGGCATCTGTAGTCTCACTGGGAGCTTGGGCACACGTGGAAAAGAGAGCCCAGCACATGGATTTTAACGTTTTTCTAACAACTGCGGAGATCTGAGGGGATGTGTGGTGAATGTAAAATACCTAGTTGACTTGGCAGTCTCTCGTGTAAATTACAGTAAAACAAAGTAAATGAAATCTAAACAAAAAATAAATTTGATCACAAAATGCCACGTGTGTACTGAGCGGTTGTTTCTTTGGTGTCACGCCTGGCTCAGCGCTGTGGACCGCTCCTCTGCTACTTCTTCAGCAGCTCTCTTCATTTGCAGCGCTCTCACCCTGGGGAAGGTAAGCGTTTTTGTTTTTGTTGTTTAATTACAAACTTATTCTTGCACTGCAGCTATGCTACCCTTACGTATGTTCGGTTTTGTAAATAATTTTGTCTTTAAAAAGCCAACCAGCGAGTTAAAGCGTATATATCATTAATCTCAGGTTTTTAAACACTATTTTAAAAGGGAGAAATACGGGAAATCTAGAATATTTTAAAACGTACTCCAAGATTTTGCCTTTAGATTCTGATCTTTTCAAGACGATGGCTTTTGTTTGGGATTGATTTTCTCTCACCTTTCCAGAATGTTGTCATTTCTATGCTATTGTTTTGGAGATGTAATACATAGTCTTAAGGTTTCAGCATACTTTTTAGAGCTACTCAGTGTTAGAAAAGGTAACCAGCTATATGAATGGGTTCCTGTACAGTGTATTTCCAGGGTGGTTGGGGCTGGTTTTTTGAGGTAGGTGTCTCAGTGTTCTATTTCAGACACGGTGTTTGCGTGTGTGGTGACAGTCATTCATGCCCTCGGCAGCCTGGCACTTGGGTCTTGCTAGAGGATCTAGGAAGAGTGAGAACAGTTGTATCGTAAAGTCCAGTGGAAGAGGCAGACCTCTGAGCAGGTACACTTCAAATCTGTGTGCTCCTCACAGCTAAGAGTGGAGAGTTGGTTGAGACTGAGAGACGGTTAGACCTCATCCTCGTTGTACGGAGAGAAGCAAAAGTCCAGGCCTCCAGCTCTTGGACCAGTGCTGGTCAGCACCCCCGGGTTACGCCTGCCTCCTCCTGCGGTCTCGGACTCAGAGCTGTAATGCCCAGAGGTGAGACTGTAAGACACTGTATTACTCTTAACAAATTCGAGGCCACCTCAGTGTGACTTCTTCCTTGCTTTGTTCATTTAACAACCTGCCTCCTAATGGATCTAAGATCAGTTGCCTTTCTGTTGCCTTTCAACTTGCTAAATGTTGAAAGTTCCACAGTCTGCCCTCCTCCGAAAACCCTGTCTGAGAGTAAGCGAGAGGCATCTGTGAACGTTTGTTTTGTCTGCCTCCTCTTAGCACTCAGTTACAAGGGCGCAGTACGGGATTCCCTGTTATTGCCCATTTGGAAGGAGAGTGTTCTTTGTTCTTACCTCTCAGATCTGATCTCATCAGAGCAGCAGAATGTCTGAGATGGAGCCTCAGTGGCTCCAGATGGGCTTTTCTAGGTCTGGCTCACTGGGGATTTCAGAGTGTAGGACTTGGCGTGATTGCGAGGGAGGGAGAGTGCCGGAAGTCGGGTGTAGATGCTCCTCTGAGCTTGGAGTGACTGCCACCAACAGGGAGTGAGCGCTTCCCGAGAGCCCTGCCAGTGTCACTTGAGTTGTTGCTGAAATCGTAAGCAGCTGCAGTAGGTTTCCTTAGAACTAGTTGTCCAAGTGATTTCATGGGGGAGGTAGAAGTTGTAGCTGGCCCCCTAACATTTTAATTCACAATTTAACTCAGTGAAAGAGAAAAAACGTGAATGAGGAAGTCCCGAAGCAGTAGCTCCGCAGACGAGATTACAAGCCCCTCCAGGGAAGGAGGGCCATCTAAGGCACAGGAAAGGAGAACCAAGTGAACTGGTGCATAAAATTCAGCCTGTGTAAACCAGCGGCTCTCTTACTGTGGCTGTACCGTGGAGTCTGGTGGGGAGCCTTTAAAAACACTTGCCCTCCAGTCTTTCTGTGGGGAGGAGGTTGGGATTCCCGTCCTCTTTTCCTGGAAGATCATTGAGATGGCCACATTCTCTCCAGGTGATCACTCTGTATCCTTCCTTCAGAGCCCTGGGCCAAATGCCCGTTCCTGCAGGGTGGCCCCCTAACTGGGAGTGCTTTGCTGGGCAGCATGCTGCGTCCCTGTTTGGCTCTTACAGACTTGACACTTTGGTTAATAGATGTCATCTTTAAATCTCTAATGCGTCCTTGTCCCATATTAACTTGAGCAGTCCTCAGGGGCAAGTGTCGTAGTTGTACCCCAAGGTCACATCCCTAATAGAAATTCTGACTCTGAGCCCGTATCTCCTTGTCCATATGTCTGCCAGTCCTGTGCCAAGGGACCAAGGTCCCTTTTGAGTCGTGGAGTTTGAGCATGAGAGTCAGTAAGGTCTCCTTTCTGCCCTCAGAGGATTAAAGCTGCAAACTGGCTGGAGCGGGATGTAATTCTGATAGCTACAGGTACAGAGTATGATAAGAGAGCAGATGAGGGAGCTCCAGGCCCGATTTCCTCCTCACTTTGCGGACGCCTGAACTGGAAGTTTCAGAGACTCTTCCAACTAAAGAAGCCTTAAACTCCTTTCTGTCCTTCTTCCTCCAGAACACAGTCCTGCCGTCATTGACCGCATCACTGGCCCCTAAGCCAGAAATCCTGCTCGGTCCTTGAGTCTTTAAAGGGTCCCTAATGAAGTCCTGCCCCCTCGTATGTGCTGGCCCAGGCTGTGCTCTGACCACCCTCCTGTCTCAGGTCCACAAACTCCCTATTAAAGGCTAAGCAGTAAATATTGTAGGTTTGGGCAGCCCTGTTGTCTTAGAGCGCTTCAGTTCCGCCCTTGTAATGCAAAAGCAGCCCAAAGGCAGTAATTCAGAAAGAAGTGTGTCAGTTCCAGTAAAACTTGAAGTAGACAGTGGGCTGCCTTTGACTGGTGAGTTCATATGTAGTTTGTCAATCCCTTGTGTGGGTCGTTGCTTGGATAGCCTTACCCAGGCTCTGCCATAGTTCACTTCGGGTAATATCCCTGGTTGTGCTGTGCCCCGCTCGCATGTCTGCATGGCTCCCTGAGTCCCGAGCGGCACCGCTCTGTGAGTGCAGCAGCCAGAGCCAGTGACTGCTACGAGCCTCACTCATCCTGCCATTACTGAGGTAGGGCCAGCGATGCTCCTCAGCCTCCTGGCCTTATATGAGGTGCTTGCAGGTGACAAGAATCCAGCTGGTTCCTCTGCTGCTGTGTCTGCGTTCCCTGTGTAAAGAAAGGCTTTAAACATCTGACTTCCAACATGAGTGCCGAGAGATAGAACTAGGACATGCTGATGGGAGCCATTGACGTATGAAATACAATGAAGGTAATGCTGGTTAAACGCTTCTCATTTGGCATATTGTCTCTGTTGTCCAGAAAATACCGTCTGTAGCTGTGAAACTAAATGCTCTCTTCATGGGAAGGTTCGTAGGTGTCCTCTACCTTTTGTATAATTTAAATTTGGTTCTCTAGATGCCACTGCTGATTTGTTAACCTGGAGTTGGCGTCATGGCTCCTGATGGGCCCTGGAAGGCCAAGCCTTTGCCTAGAAAAGGGGCCGAGTTTCCCCGAGTCTGCTACTCAACCTTGGGTGGAATCGGCTTATTCCTTGGGTTTTTGAGAAGCAGTAAAGCCCTGTGACATGCCTCTGCCTTGTTGATCCCTTATATATTCTGACACCACCTGCTCAATCAGTTGATAGCAGAATTGCCTTGCTCTCCAGACGGGAAGGTTCATGAAGCAGAACGGAGGAGTGGCTTGCAGTGTTTATTAATGTCTGTGCTAAACAAAAGCTTTGCCTCTGGGCATCCCATTGCAGGCTGGCTCCCTGCAGCCCAGAATACTGATAGCTGTTCTCTCAGCACCGCCCATACTTTCCCATGGCTCTGGAGCCTTGAAACAACTTCTCAGCCTACCAAGAACCATCACCCCGTGCGTCCTTTCAGGAGAGGAGAGACTGAGAAAGCTACACAAGCTATTCAGTAGTTCCTTCGGTTCAGTAGTCAGCAAGCCTTTCTGTGAAGGATTAGATAGTAAGTAAGTTGGGCCTGTGGGCTACGGAGTCTGTGTTGCAGCTACTTAGCTCTGGTTCTGCAGAATGGAAAGTAACGTTATTAACAAGTGAATTGGCATGGCTAGATGTCCGTAAAACTGTTCAGCGTAGAGGCAGACTGACGTGGCCCAGTGGCTGTAGTTTGCCAGTCCATTTTAGGGTCTCCCCACAGTTGTTTCTTTTATCAGATTGCAGCACCAACCTAATACCAGCCAGCACTTAATAGTACCTGCTATATGTCAGGCACTCCCCTGAGTGTAGCTCGGAGCCAGCCTTGAATCTTCACAGCCACCCACGTGGTAGGTGCTGCTCCCCATTTGAAGAGACCAAGGTCCAGGTTAGTGTAGTTTGTCCCAGTCCTGCACGGAAAGTGGTGGAACCAGGGCTCTTACCCAGGGACGGCTCCAGAGTCACTCAGAAGCCCTCCTCATCCAGCCCTCATCTCAGAACTACTTCATGCCTGAGGCGTGGACTAAGGGTGGTATAAGCAGCCCTAATAATAAAAATTCTCTTTGAGACCCTGTGTTCTTAAACACCAGGAAGAAGCCAACTTCCATGACTGACTCTTCCCAGAGTTGAGAGCCAAGGAAATACTTCTCTGTAGACCACGGGAAGTGCTCCCTCGGTGGCCGTGTCAGGAAGCTCCCAGGTTGGGTAATCCCTCCAGCAGGGCACCTCTTCAGGCAGGGCTTCCTGTGCTGATTTTGTATCGGTGCCGTGAGACATGGGGGCTTCTGGTTCTCCCAGACCCAAGCTTTCTATTGTAAGTGCCCTGGAAGTTCTTACGGGGACGGGTTCCATGTAATTCTGAGATACATTCGGCAAAATGGACAGTTACTGCTGCACGGAGGAGAAAAAATAAGCACCGCATCCAGCAGGAAACGGCCCGGACACACGGGAGCGGAGCTGCCGAGGTATTTTGTTAGCACAGTGGGATTGCAAGTAGTTCCCCTTTACCCCCGAATTGTCTTCACTGTTTCTGCTTTACGAGAGAATCTTACTTAAAACTCCTTGTAACGCACAGCGCCTCATAAACAGTTCCCTATACGTGACGGCCGACGGCCTTCGCCCGCCGGGGTGAGGTTTTTCAGTTCGGCATCT